GGGCATCCTCCAAACAATTATCTCATCCCATCCATGCTGGCAGTGGAGGCATGCTGCGGATCCCATCAATCAAGGAATTCTGGCTGGTGGGATCCAGGAGACGTTCCCTTTCTGCTGTGGTTTCTACCTTTCATATCCCTCCCCTCCCTGAAGTGAGATCCACAACTCATCCTGCTGATCTTCCATAAGGGTCTAAAAACCTGGTTCTGCCAGTTGGCCCGGGGCCCCAATGGGGAGTGCATCATTTTGGAGGTGGCTCTTGGATTAAGAAAAGATCTCATCTCCCACTGTGTAGTTCATGCTCCCCTCCTCCCCATCTTTTAACTGTACTTACTATTGTTGTTATTTATTATTTTATCATTTTAATATTTACCAGTTTTAATGTTTGTAAGCTGCCCAGAATCGTCTCTAGACGAGATGGGCAGTAAACGAGTAAGAGTGAGCAGGGTGGATTTGATTTAAATTGAGTTGATTTAAATCATAATTTAAATCATGATTTAAATCACTAGTAAAAAGGCTTGATTTAAATCAACTCGATTTAAATCATAATTTTTAAAGAGCAACTGTCATCTCTGCTACTCCTTTGGCCCACTGTTGACTCACCGATAGTCCCAGTGTTGCAGAATATACAGCCTCATGCTACATAACTAAGCTCCATTTCATGCTGAATAAACTAAATTATTTATGTATCTTAAATAGAAAACTATCTTACGATAAATTTTTACCCCAAGTTTTTTATTAAAATAAATTCGATAAAAATAAAAAAAATCCGATTTAAATCAAAAAAATCTGATTTAAATCAAAAAAATCTGATTTTTTTTATTTTTTTAAAAAAATCATTGATTTTTATCCACCCTGAGAGTGAGTAAGTAAGTAAGTAAGTTGTCAGGGTTCCAGGTAACACCCCCAATGAAAGAAAACTTCGAGGCTTGAAATTCCTCAAAGTTCCATTTTATTAGAGATGTCATATTGGCACATCCAGGAAAACCCGAATCTGAAAGCTTCCAGGTTTTCCCCACCCAAAGAAAAGTCCAAGTCCCTGCCCAGCACCAACATGTCCATCACATGGTCCAATCAAAGCACCGTCCCAACTGGAGATGCCTCCCAGTCACACCCCTCCAGGTGCAGGGCAAGATGTCCTTGACTCTCTGAGAAAGGAATGTTATTATGACTATATATCACCCATGCTCCATACAATCCCCACTCCCAGTTTCCCCACAGTACTAAATGTGGCAGGCCTGAAGATCCTACGAAAAAGATGGCTTCCAGGCCTGACGTAAGTAAGCAAGCAAGGAAGCAGGAGCGATGAGTCCAAGAGGACTATCACATTGTGTACTAGTCTCTCTGGGGCAATCCCATCCCATCCTATTCTTTGTCTATAGATTTATCTAATCCCATTTTATTATCATTTTAAATTAGAGGATGTTATATTTTGTGGTGATGGGTTCCGTATCTTTGAAGTATTTTCTTTGCTCAGATCTGATAGTTTCCTTTTTTTCCTTCATGGGACGATCCCAGAGTGTAATATTCTGGAAAGTATACACCTGCAGAATGGCCGTAACAGGTGCATTGAGAATAAATTCCACTTGCATTCAGTTGTACACAGGGATTCAATCCTTTTAGATCTTGCTGCTCAGCACAACAAGATCTAAAACTGAAAGGGTATTACAAGGGTTGCTTCCCAGCTGATAAAAGATTCAAGAGATCTGTCAACAGCCAACAGGAAGCTCCTTCATTATCATTGAAAAAGCCCACTGTCTAACTGTTCCATAGGAAGACATTTAAGTAAGGAAATAAAGAATATTTCACCTTAATGGATGTTGGGGATATATTGGCATTAGGTGGGAAATAGGTCTGTTGCTGGGATTTTTGTATCCTGATCTCTTTCTTTTTTTAAAACAAATCTTGTTAAAGAGATTCCATGAGAATGCTTGAAAAAGCAGTTCTTTTTTGGTTTTAGGCAGATGTCAGAGCCTACGACAGGACCAGAGGTTAATAAAACACAATTGCTATGGTTACCCAGTAAGTTTTCCCTGAACAAGCAAACTGCATGATGGCATAACATGATGGTCTGGTTCATAAAACATATATATTTATTTAATTCTGTTTTACTGCTGCCCAGTTCCAGAATTATTAAGACAATGGTGGGGTTTCCCCCACCATGCTAAATCACCGATTATATAACCTATATTAGCTTATAACACCATATAACTGAACTCATTGTTCAGCCTGAGTATAGTTCTTGCTTACCAAGTAGTCCTTGACTTATGACTATAATTAAGCCTGGAATTATGGTCATACATTGTGCCAGTCCTTAAGTGAGTCACCATGAGATCGTATCTGATAGTATAGCCTTTTTTGAGGAAGTCATTAAGTCAATCGCCATGGTTGTTAAGTGAACGCCGCAGTTGCTAACCAAATCCATTGTCCACAAGGGGTGTTTTTTTTTTTGCCAGAAACCGGAAGTAAATGTCAGTTTTAGTTTCCACAAAAAAAATTGTAAATTGTAGTCACATAATTGTGGGACATTGCAGTCATTAAATGCAGGCTAATTTCCAAGACCCAAAATTATAGAATTGTAAGCTGCCCAGAGTCACTTGGTTGACTTAAGTAGCTATGGAAATTGAATAAAAAAAAAAATAGCAATAGCACTTATATACCACTTCCTAGTGCTTTACAGCCCTCTCTAAGCAGTTTACAGAGTCAGCATATTTCCCCCAACAATTTGGGTCCTCATTTTATTGTCCTCGGAAGGATGGAAAGCTGAGTCATCCTTGAGTCAGTGAGAATCGAACTGCTGGCAGTAAGCAGAGTCAGCCTGCAATACTGCATTCTACCATAATTTTGAAGTGTCATTAAGCAGGGTAGTTGTAAGTCAAGGACTACTTGAAACACATTGAATTACACCTCAGGAACAGTGTACACCTGCATTTAGATAGTCCCAGTCCTGATTTTTTTTGGCAAATCATTAAGGATTTGGGGCCTGGAGGTTAGATGAGCCCATGTTATGTGGGTTTTATTTATTTTTATTTATGAAATTTATAGACTGTTCATCTTATTATTCTCAAGAGCATTTTTGTTTCTTTTTGCTGGTCCAGAGCACAATTTATTTTTCGCTGTTTATTTATGATAGCTTTTTAAAAATCTTACAGTAGCATCGCAGCATTTATGAGTGCAAGTTCTACAAGTTGATGAATAAATGAATATATTAGGTATTTTTTTCTGCCTCTGAAGAATAACATCAGAAGGGTCGAACTGGTTTTTATTTAAAAATGTGATTACTGGTTTCAATGAAAGAGAGGGGAGATTTGAGAATGGAGGCCGGGAGGGCTGACCAAGTAGAAAAAAGCATGGAGAAGATATCAGCTAAATATCCCCATATCACCACAAATATCTTAAATCTTTTCTCTAGCAGCAATTTTGGAGCCATAGATTGACAGGCAGTTATGGAGCAACTAAGGGGCCCAAGAGGAGATACCGCACTTACCACACAGCAACAATGATGATTAGGGGACTGGAGGCTAAAACATATAAAGAACGGTTGCTGGAATTGTCTAACTTTGAATGGTCACTAAAGAAACTGCTGTAAATCGAGCATTACCTGTACTGTGTTTAGCTTGCTATAATGCTTACATTACTTTCTTGTACTTCCTAGTTTAAAATAATAGCGATAGCATATAGACTTATATATCATCCCATAGTGCTTTACAGCATTCTCTGGGCGGTTTACAAAGTAGAAGCATTATTTGCATGTTGCCCCCAATAATCTTGGTTCTCATTTTACCAACCTCGGAAAGATGGAAGGCCGAGTCAATGGTTAACAAGGACAGATTTTGGTAATCAGGAATCTATGCAGGGAGCGGCTCTTGGTGGTGCCAACCCTCACCTTAATCACTGAGTAGGTGGTAGCTGATAGATTGGAGTTATTTCTCATTTTTGCATAAGCTTTTGACTTGCTTTCAGTTGAAGAGGTGTGTGGATTGCTGTGATTGCTTCCTTTCCTCTTTCCCTCTTAGCAGATAAATAATTTTCAGTCACCGCATTTGACTTAGTTTCGCATTTTTATTCTGTTTTCAACATTCTATTATAGTCTTTCAGTGGATAAATAACTTCTAAAGAAGATTGCATGCAGTCCAGGTACTTACATTTAGAATGTTTTAGATAGAACTAGTAATTCTTCCACAGCGTGCAGTCCCGTCTAAGTCTTACTGAGGACAACACACAAAGCCTTATTTCTAGGCAGAATAACACACTTTGCCCTTGAGCAATTGCTGAAGTAATATTTTTTTAAGTAAACCATTTTATCAAAGGCTAATTTTTTTATAATGTCCAACAGTTTATTACCTGGCAACCTGAATACTGCAACAGTAATGTAATAAATATGATACCCTGTTTCCCCCAAAATAAGACAATAAGCCTTGATAATAAGCCCAATCGGGCTTTTAAGCACATGACAATAAGGCCAAGCGCTTATTTCAGGGTTCAAAAAAATATAAGACAGGGTCTTATTTTGGGGGACACACGTTATTTTGTCAGGGATGCGCTTTGATGAGGGGAAAAAAAAGAATCCAGAAATGTTTGGAGAAATAATATTTGTTTCTTTAAAGCTGAGAGAATGAATGAGAGAATTCCCATTTGACAATATGGTATAAAAAGATGTTGCATACAAGGAAAAAGGGGATGTGGCAGGAGAAAAAACAATAACAACCAAATATTCACATAGCAATTTAAGGTTCTTGTACTGCTTAGACTGCTGGGCTGGCTACTGGAAGATGATTTGAAGAGCTGTAAAATTTCTCAGGAGGGCTAACATTAGACAAGTTTCTCTCCTCAGAAAGATGAGGTAAAGATGAGGGGGTTGGAGGCATGAGCATCTTCCAAATATGGGAAGAAATTCTAATATTTGTCTTTCTCTCTGGACTGAATGCTCTGTCCCTCCCCACCTCCCCACCCTCTCCTGTGGCATCAGGTGTCATCCAAGCCCCTTTCTTTCCTGGCAGGGACCAGGACTCGCCCTATGAGATCATGCAGCTGGACTTTGAAATGGAGAACTTCACCAGCCAATCCGTGACTCGACGCATCATGTGGCATATAGACTATCGGGGTCGTAACCCACCGCCTGATCTGGAGAAGGCTGTGACTGAGCTGACAGTAATTCAGAGGGACATCCGTGCCATCCTTGCCCTGGCCATGGTGAGCTTCTTTCTTAGAAGCAAACTAGAAGATAGTTCAGTTCTCTGCCTGACTATTATCTTAGACCTGAGATATGCATTCAAATCAGAGGTGGGTTTCAGCAGGTTCTGACCAGTTCTGGAGAACCGGTATCGGAAATTTTGAGTAGTTCGGAGAACCGGTAGTAAAAATTCTGACTGGCCCTGCCCCCATCTATTCTCTGCCTCCCAGGTCCCAGCTGATTGGGAGGAAATGGGGATTTTGCAGTAACCTTCCCCTGGATTGGGGAAGGAATGGAGATTTTACAGTATCTTTACCCTGCCACGCCCACCAAGACATGCCCACTAAGCCATGCCACACCCACCAAGCCATACCCACAGAACCAGTAGTAAAAATTTTGAAACCCACCACTGATTCAAATGCTTGGTCTAATTCCTCTAACTTCATTTTATGGGAACTATGGGACTCTTAATTCAGGGTTGAAAGTAGAGATACCTACGTAAGATAGGTGATATCATACGTGGGTATGATATGAATTAAAATTGATACTGACTTTAAACATTCTACATAATCTTTGTTTGATCATTTTGATACAGAGAAATAACTAAAACATGTCTTAGTGTGATGAATGAAGGCAGCTATGCTTCAGTTTCTTTAACCAAAATTGGTTGAAAAAACACGATTAGTTGGATCCAACCATCACATTCAGCGATAAATTACAGTATACAGTACAAAGCATATTAGTTGGCTTCATACAGCATGCTAACTCTAAATCAAGCAGATTACTTAATTGCTTAGTCTGGCGTGAACCTCTTCTTAAAATCAATATAAGAGTTTTGATATAAGAGTTTTATCCGGCTTTTCTTTGGGGGCGGGCGGTGTTAAACACATATGCTTTGCTATTATGTTTGTTTATATTAATGTTTATAAATGGAAAAATAGAAAGATGAAGGAGTATTAAATATGTTTGGAGCCTTGGATTATTGATAAAAATAATAAAGGCAGGATTAAAAAAATCTAATAAATAAATATATGGAGGAATTTATGCCTCCCCAATTGTTAATATCAGAACAACTTAATGTACATTTACACTCTGGGAAGCAGTGAAAACAAGTTTTTTGGAATAAGTTCTGTGAATGTGTCTTTATGTTCTGAAGTTTATTATCCTAAACATCATGGAATAACTCTCAAAAAATTATGCCATCAAAATAACATTTCCTAGAGGAGTCTTGCCTAATCTGGTGCCCTGCAATGTTGATTTTCCAATCCCATAATCTCTAACTGCATGGCTAGCAGCTACCACAGCTGTAGAACACAAAGTTGGGAAGAATTCCCTGGGCTCAAGCATTCTTGCAAAGGTTAACAGCATCTCAAACAGACTTTCCTGAATGTTGTTATCTTTTAATGATCCCGTAGTCCCTTGCATCGGGGTGGAGTCGGGGCAACTAACTGAATGGAGCTGAGTGTTTACTGGCTGGATGCCCTTCCTGTCGCCAATGTGGAGTTTGCAGCAGATATTACCTCTTTGTGCCCAGAGAGAGAAATATCTGCCGCTACCTAGGATTGAACTGACAGCTCCTGATTGTGAGGCAAGAGCTCTACCTCTAGGCCACCACACCACTCTAAACAGACTTTCCTGAATATCCTGGAGAAATGAGCTCATGAGGAGAAGATGGTGGGACCATAGTCCACTCAATAAAACATGGCCTCCTTTATCATCCTTAAGGATACAGAAATCATCAACACAGCCATCCTCACAGGACGGACAGTTGCCATCCCCGTGAAGGTCATCGCCATAGAGATGACAGGAGATATCTTGGATATTTCAGCAATGGTCAAATGCAAGTCCAGCAATGAGGATATCATCAAGGTGGGTGAAGGGGCTGATACATGGGGGGAAAATACAGCTAGCCCTCGACTTACGAAACACAATTGATCCCAAAATGTATTTTGTTAAGTGAAACATTTGTTAAGTGATTGTTGCCTCATTTTACAACGTTTCTTGCCTCGGTTGTTAAGTGAATCACTGCAGTTGATAAATTAGTAACCCGATTGTTAAGCGAATCTGGCTTCCCCCATTGACTTTGCTTATCAGAAGGTCGTAAAAGGTGTTCACAGGATCTTGGGACACAGCAGCAGTCGTAAGTATGAACCAGTTGCCGAGCATCTGAATTTTGATCATGGGGATGCTGGAAAAGTCGTAACTGAAAAATGGTCACAAGTCACTTTTTTCAGTGGTCACTAAACAAACCGTGGTGAATGGTCACTAAACAAACCGTGGTAAATTGGGGATTACTTGTGCTTAATCTTGGAACTGGGTGGCCTGGTATTGTGGAGGAATGCCCAACCAAGGTAGTATGGTAGGGGTTGGATTTTTATTGGATGCTAACATGAGCTAAAATGTTGATGTGCACGAATCACTCTCTTACAGGAACTTAACTATGGTCTTAGCAAGTTGTGTACACCAAGCCATCGTAATAGTTCATAATAAGATTTATTTCCTTGATGCAGCTTGTTATATTATGTTAACCCAGAACACAGTGTTACTACTCTGGGGTCAAGTTTTTTTGTTTCTGATACTGGACAGCCAAACACATCCGCTGATTTGGCAGTGGTAGTTGCAATTGTTCTAAATATTTCTTCTCGGTGTTGGATCGACTGCCTCTGAACATGGAGTTCTTTTACAATCATCATGACCAGGGGTACTCAGAGGTGAAATGCTCCCGGTTCGGACCGGCTCGGGCGAGTAGGTAGCGATGGCGGCGGGCAGTTCGGAGAACCGGTAGCAAAAATACCTGCCCCCGCCCCGCATGCCCAGCTGAGCCACGCGATCATCAGAGGCTTTTTTTCTTTTAAATGCCTCTGATGAGCCAAACTCTGACGATCCCAGCTGAGTTGCCTGATCGTCAGAGGGTTTTTAAAAATGCCTTTTGAAAGCATTTTTTTTTTACAGGGTTTTACATGTAAAAAATGGTTTTAAAAGTAAAAAAAAAAAATTGGCCACTCCCACCCAGTCACATTACCCCCCCCACTAAGCCACGCCCACAGAACCGGTAGTAACAAATTTTAGATTTCACCATTGGTTCTACTTACCTTTACTATCGGTTCGCAATGGGATCGCGCACGCGCTTGCTTCGCTCTCAAGCACGCCTTACTTCTGTGCATGCGCAGAAGCTTATGCGCATGCACATATCGCTGATGATGACATCCGGGGTGGTGGGTGGGGTGAGTGGAGCCTCCCGACGGTTTTACTACCGGTTCTTGCGAACTGGTCCGAACTGGGGGCAACCCACCACTGATCATGACAAATATCCATTAATAACATTCACTTTTATTTCTTTTTAAAGAAAGCTATCTGGCTTTCATCAGAATTATACACTATGTGAAGACAAGGTAGAAAAACAGTAAGGTTTTAGACTTAGGCAGGAAAAATGTTCAGGTATGGATTAGATGAAACCTGGCTTAATAGCAGTAACTGTGAGAGGGATTGTGGAGTCCTAGTAGACAATCACTTAAATAGGAGCCCGCAGTGTGCGGCAGCAGCCAAAAAAGCCAAAGCAATCCTAGGTTGCATTAACAGAGAGATGTCTTTGGAGATTCTCAGTCATCCAGGTCATGGTTGTCCCAAAGGATGACTGAGAATCTCCATAGACATCCCTCTGAATAGGGATGGAAATTGGAAATTGGACTTTCTTATTTTTCTTTGAAGACGTTTTGCTTCTCATCCAAGAAGCTTCTTCAGCTCTTGAAGAAATCTACTGAGTTTAGAATTTGGGGAGCCAAAGTGTCCATGGTGTGCAAGCACTGACAACCCACCATCTCTCCCCTCCCTTACCAATCTTCTATTTCAGGGGTAGGCTTCAAAAATTTTAGCTAGGGGTTCTCTGCTCGGTTGCTGGGTGGACGTGGCCATGTGGGCGTGACCTAGTCGGCCTCCTGCACAACGGTGGGGGGCATGTTTTTGCCCTCCCCGGGCTCCGGAGGCTTTCCTTGAGCCTCCGAGAGGGCGAAAATGGCCTCCCTAAGCTCCGGAGGCCCTCTGGAGGTTGGAAATAGGCTCGTTTCCGGCCTTCCCGAACTTCCAATAGGCCTGTTTTTCGCTCTCCCCGAGCCTCCGCACACGCCCTCCACTTACCTGCCTCCAAAACGGCCTGCATGGGGACTCCTGGGAGGGGAGGGGTGGGCAGGGCCAGCCACAAGTGGGATTTGGGGGTTCTCCAAACTGCACAGAATCTTAGCTAGGGGTTCTCCCGAACCCCTGTGAACCCCTGATCTATTTGCAAAGCAAAAGTTTAGGTCTTCCATTTGGAAAGATTCTCCAGTTTTGATCCTTTGAGATAATATTCCCTATAATCTATCTCCATCTATGAATTGGAAAGCACCTGAGATGGACTCATCTGGACCCGTCTGGTGATCTGTCCCCGTCTACGCACACACACAAACACAGCCAGCCGAGGGTTAAGAAAGTACTTGGCACGCACACAGGTTGTTATCTCAAACTTGTCAACGATATAAGCACCATCTGCCAAGAGCTTTACTGCAACAGATAACATAAGATTACATACGCATTGCAAATAGTCCAGCAAAACAATATCCCTTCGGCAGCTTCAGACGTTGTTCAAGTGACTAGCCAGAATTAGTTTTTGTTCGTCACGGAGTTTTATCAGCCACCACCCTCTCTTATGTAGTCTCTGGGGTGTGGTCCAGTGACTCAGTTCTAATCCCTAGCACGCCTCCTTAATTGCTGCAGCCGTTTATCACGCCTTCGTTGGCGTGCATCCAGGAACGACGGCTCTCCTTCTTCGCTCTCATCCGAGACACCTGGCTCCTGGCTAATCTCCTCTCCCTCGGCCGGCACCTGAGACAGTGCCAGAGGGGAGGGGCCTGGAGAGGGAGGCCTGGCTGACTCCTCTCCCTCATGTTCGGAGCCTTCTTCCTCCGATGAGATAGGCTCAGAGGGCGGGGCCACAACATCTGGCAACCCGAACTGGTCTTCAAAGCAGGCAGTTATTTCAAGAATCGGTGGAAACTGGAGCCTCCTGCTAAGCGGCTCCCACTTCCTCCCACTGCCCAGCCTGGATAAAATAGTCTGCCTGATTTACCAGGGCACCTTTTTAAATGGTTCTTTTCAGCTTGAATAAACACTGCAGCCATTGCACACTTTCAGGTAGGCTAAGAGACACTTTGATGGGCTAACATGTTACTTTCCTGCTCATAAATTTCCCTGGTTGCTGTCTCTGGCTCCAGGAAAGGCACTAGCAGGCCAGAGCGTGCATGCTGAGATGAATAATTCATCGACTTGCTGACCCCTCACCTTCTGTTTTCCATTAAATTCTTTAACATCCTCCCACCCCTGTTTCTGCCCCCACTGAATTATGTCGACAGTGCTGTGAAGAGGTGTGTCTGGCAGGAACTCTCACTTACCTGGAGAAATTGCAAAGTGGGGAGGGGAGACAATTGCTCTGTCAGGACTATAAACTGAGGCCATTCATCAGGCAACTTGCTATCTGTTACTGTAAATAATTCAGCATTAAGGAGAGTGGCGATGCTGTCGGTGGGCTGTCTCCTGACTCCCCGAGTGGGGGGCAACAGATATGGGAATAAACAAGACAAGTAGCACCATTGATCTCCTGACACAAGAGATGCAGGAACAAGACTTGGGCCATGCAAAAAGTGAGCCTTAATGCAGCAATCCTTGCAAGGTGGCGTTGGAAATCCTGGCTTAACTGCTGAACCCAGGGTTTGCATGTAGCCTGTCCTGGGTCTAACCCGAATTATGCAAAACTGAAGATAAGAAGATGAAGTGCTGCTGTCTTTAAGCAGGAATGGCTGCAGCTTTGGTGGACTGAAAAACCAGGGTGATAGTATGATGCTGAAATAACATCCATCTTCTGCCACAGAATTCAGATTAGTTACTTTGTTCCTCTTAACAGAATAACAAAAGTTGGAAGGGATCTTGTAGGTCATCTAGTCCAACCCCCTGCTCAAGCGGGAGACTTTATACCATTTCTGACAAGTGAGTGTCCAGTCTCTTCTTGAAAGCCTCCAGTGATGAAGCACCCACAACTTCTGAAGGCAGGCCGTTCCACTGGTTAATTGTTCTCACTGTTGGGAAGTTTCTTCTTACTTCTAGGTGGAATCTCTCCTTGATTAGTTTCCATTTACTGTTTTTGGTGTGGCCTTTGGGTGCTTTGGAAAATAGGTTGACCCCTTCCTGTCTGTGGCAGCCCCTCAAATATTGGAATACTGCTATCATGTCGCCCTTTGTCCTTCTCTTCACTAGACTAGCCACGCCCAGTTCCTGCAACCGTTCTTCATATGTTTTAGCATCCAGGCCCCTAATCACCTTTGTTGCTTTTCTCTGCACTGTTTCTAGAGTCCCAACATCTTGCATTATACCATGGTGATCAAAATTGTAGCAAATTATGGTTAATTTTAATTAAGTTTTGTTGAACAAGCCAGTGCCTGTTTTGCAGATTAACCAACATTTTCATTCCGCAATTGGTCAATCAAATTGGGCCAATTTTGCTATCATTTTTAGCTTCATAACTCTTCATAACTTTGCGGCTTAGAAAATCACAAAATTATTCTTGGTGATTGAATGTGGCAATAACCAAGAATAAGACAGCAAGCCACAAACCATGTATCCCGTATCTTAACAAAATTATGGTTACAGTCAGTTATCCCAAAACAAACCAGGCTTTCAACCAGTGATAAAGAGCTGTCAAGGAAACCATGGTATTCTTTTCTGTTTGTAGATCATGCTGAGCCCAGAAACATATCATACGAGCGTGATGTGTGAGACTATTATGAAGGCAGGTTTGCATTTTAATTTGAAACAATTAAGTTGCTGGCATGGAGCTGGCAGCT